ACTTAGGTTCATTTATGTCAGTTTATTTTCAATTCCAGAGTCTGGTTTTCCCCCCAGACTTGCAGATTTTTCTTTATTCATTGAATGTGTAAAACATCTACATGGTTTACAAGTCAAAACTATATGAAAAGGTATACCCAGAAAAGTCTTACCCTCTGCCCCACCTCTGGAAGTAACCAACTTTCCTAGTTTCTCTGTTTTCCTTCCTGCACTTCTTACTTGAGATAAGAACAAGAAAATTGTGTGTGGACCTGTGTAACTTCCCCTTGTTTAGTTCACATACTTCGTAGGCTTGTTCACAGCATGCTCCTTTTACACAAAGCTGGAAATCAGCCACTGTCGGGTCAGGAATGCCTCCCCGTGCTCATGTGTCCAGCTGCATAGTACTCCGTTGTGTGCCTTCCTCATAACATATTTATCCAGTCTCCTGGGTATGTAGGTTCTTTCCGATATTTTGCTAGAAAAAAATAATGACACAGCAAATAACCTTGTGCATATCTTGTTTCATAGTACAGGGTAAATTCTTAGAAATGCAATTGCTGGGGCAAAGAGCAAACTGTCTCCGTGCCATCAGGCTGCCGTGACAGAATACCAAAGCCTCGGAGCCTTATAAAGAACATTTAGGGGGCGCCTGGGTGGCTCAGTCGTTAAGCGTCTGCCGTCAACTCAGGTCATGATCCCAGGGTCCCGGGATCGAGCCCCGCATCGGGCTCCCTGCTCATCGAGAAGCCTGCTTCTCCCTCTCCCACTCCCCCTGCTTGTGTTCTCTCTCTCGCTATGTCTCTCTCTGTGAAATAAATAAATAAAATCTTTTTTAAAAAATTTAGTTTCCACAGTTCTGGAAATTGGGAAATCCAAACCCAAGGCAAAGGATCTCTCTGGAGTCTCTTTTATAAAGACACCAATCCCATTCATGTGGACTACATCCTTATGACCCAATCACCTCTCAAAGCCCCCACCCCCCACTCCAAACGCCATCACCTTAGGGTTGGGATCTCAGCATCTGAATTGGGGAGGGACAAAAACATTCAGTCCACTGCCCGTCTGTGCTTCTGTCAGTTACGGGCAAATTCCCTTCCATATGAGGTTGGGCAATTTTGCTCTCTCAGCAGCAACGTATATGAAAGCCTGTTTCCCCTGAAGATTTTCAGTTTGATAATAACTGGATTTCAATCCAGAAAACTTAGAGTGCTCCAACCTTAAGACAAGTGCACCATTGATGGAGACACAGGAGGTAGAGTGCTGAAAACGAGGGCCTTGGGTTAAGGAAGGGACATTGTATATTTGAAGGTGTTCTCAAGGGGGAGGAATTTTTCCATTCTGTTCTGTCATTTCTCTGACTCACTGTGTCGAGGAGGCTTGGTAAGAATCCATCACTTCTAAGACAAAATACTCAACTGATGACAGGTTAGAGTCTCTTTCTTTTTTAAGAATGAATGCTAATTTCAAATGGAAGAATGTCTTTCTGAAGACCTTAAGACCCTCCTCTGAGACCCCTACAAAAGATCCTCATGGTTAAGAAGAAAAGAGAGACTATTAAAGACTGTCTTTTACCCTGAGCCTAATAGAGCAACAGGCCTAGAGATCCTGCTGACTCTGTGAGAAATAAAAGCCACTCCAAGGGCTGAGTAACATTTTAGCAATAGCGATAATTTAGCATGCAATCTTCACTGCATGGAAAAAATGAGACATGGGTTTAAAATTAGGAAAAGAAGCATCAACTGGTCAGCTCAGGGGAAGGGTAAACAGTAAACAGGGAAAGAAACAAAAGTGAAATTTCATTTCTTTGTTGGTAAACGGATGCTCCCCCCACATAATAAGGGTCCCTCCAGCTGAAGGTGCACTTAACTTTCTAGAGAGTAGCAAGGAAAGGTCTGTGGTTAGTCGGTAAAGGACAAGGATCCATAAGGTGTTTCTAAGACTGTGACTTACCCTGAGGCCCTGGGATGGTACCAAAGCGTGCCCGTGCGCTTGTGGCTGTCCAGAGCCTCCAGGAGGTATACAAGGTCTCTGCCCACGCAGCAAGGGAGGTGACATCAATCAGGCTGACTCCTGTCTCCTTGCATGGTCCCAAAGGACAGAGAATTAATTCTCCAAGAAAGTAATCAAGCTTTAAGAGAAGCTCTGGTGAAGTGCTCCAGGAGAGCCTAGGAGTGAGTGAATACAGCCAGCTATGGGATGGAATAGGGGGTGGGCTTCATGGAGGAGGCGGCACTTGAATTAGCACAGGTGGGATGTAGCCACACAGCAGGGGCAGGGAAGGGCTCGGGGCCTTAGGGAGACCTGCCTTTGATGGGAGGCAGTGATTTCTTTGATGACTTCTTTATGACACCGTGACTTCAATTGAAAAGGCAGAAGAGCATCCCGATTAGAAGTCATGCTTGTGGAATTATAGAAGGAGAGGGGAATTTCTGGAAAAGGGACTATTTTTATAACCAGGCCAATTAGACTATCAGGTGAGTGCTTTAGTTTTAGAGATGCCAGGAAGTGATCTACTGTAAAATTTGAATTCATGATTCCTTGGAAACCGAAGAGCTTTTTACAAGATTTATGTAATGAATTGAGGTGTCTCCTCCCCACCCCCCCACATCATGTAAATCTAGAGAACACACAACAGCTCAGCCCTCTTTTCAAGTTCATCAGGATTCTCCACGGTTATGTGAACGCCTTGAACCCATGCTCTAAATTTATGCACATTAAGGGACTGATGTTGTTTTTGAAAGTCACTTTTTTTCCCCTTGTTACGTAAGTGACACATTTATTGTAGAAACAATTTTAAGCACGCGAATAGAAAAACAGGAGAATTCCCTGAGAATCCAATCAACTACAAGTACTGTGAAATGTTTTTGCGATCATTCTCGCAGTCCTTCTTCAAATATACATGGATGCCTAAAGTTCCATGTCCAGAAGTCTATTTATAAACAAAATAAGATCATACTACCATCCAGTTTGGGAATCTGCTTTTCCATTCAGTATATTATGGGCATCTTTCCAGATTGTTAAATATTTTCGAAATCGTTTTTCATGAGATAGGTCCTAATTTGAATAGTCAGTCTCCTATCGTTGGACATTTAGATTGCTCCAAATGTTTCACTATTAAAAATAACATGACAATAAACATTCTTATAGCCCATTTTTTCCACACAGATTCTTACAGCTTATTAGGATATATTCCTAGAAATAGAATCTCTTCGCTAGAGAGTATGAACATTTGCAGGCTTATGCTCTGGGTTGCCAGGTTGCCCTCCAGAAGAGTTGTATCAATTCACACTCCCACCCCGAGAGGCAAACGACAGTCTCCAAGCCTCGGTGAACACTAGCTGTTCATTTTTAAAATGATTTGATTGCTGTGTATCTGATAGGTTCTTGAAATATCTGCTTTCTCTTTATGCTCGCATCCATTTATTTGGTGCTAATTTGTACACTGTGGTCACCAGTTCCCTTATGAAGAGTCCTCAAAATAGAAATATCAAAAGTAGTCAAAACCTTTGAATTTCTGGGGGAAAAGGCTTGGCTGTGAACGTGATGATGGGCAGTGGAGGACCGGGCACTTGGTCTGACAGCATATCTTGTTCTCGTCCATAAAACAGCTTTTGCAAACTGATCGATCCCCACCAAACACATATTGGCCTTTTCATGAGACTCTAAATCCTTATCCTTACTCCTGGTGACTTAAAGAACATTCTCTCTCCTGGGTGTTAAGGCTGAGGTGACTGATTTCAGCAGAAAATGAAAAGTTACTGTGCTCCTTACTTCTTGTTATGGAAAATACTTCTCTGAAATCCAGTTATGTGCAATTTTCAAGGAACAGTCTGTGAACAATTTCTCGTTATTAATTTTGTTAACTATGTGCCATTCCTTCAAAGCTACTTTGTTTATCAATGGACATCTTTTTCTTTCTCATTTTGTACCTACATGATTTTGCTACATTTGGTTAATGGTTAAGGCAATAAATTCTCCACTACAACAGTGAATGTATTTTAGTGCTAAATGTAGGCTTCCTAAGTACTAATAATACTAATACTAATTCCTATTTGTATAGTACACTATACTTACTATATATAGGACTAAATTAGATCTAACTATATAGTTTATAAGGTAATTTAAAATGAATAAATTTAAGTGGAAGGAGGTGGGCTAGTCATCCCTTTAGTTTGAGTTTCAGCAAAGAGTGTATAAACCCCCATGGCCACAACCTAAAATGTAAATTATATGTACTGGGGCAACTCCCTATTTACTCTAAATTTCAGCCTCCACATACCTTGAAAATCACAGTATTTTTGATTCCCCCTTATTCAGGATGTTCCTATTGGTCAAAAGCCCATGACGTCACCCACAGCCAAAATTCTTGGACCCTATATGTCCCAGGCTCCTCGGTTAGGAATATTCCAAAGAAAGTCACAGCCCAGGTCTCTTCTCATTTCCCACAGCTCCAGATAAAGACACAAGCATTACAGCTTCTTATCCATGAGTTATTTTAGGGAGCCAGCTTTGAGAAATACATTTCTATCAAGGCCATATGATTGTCTGCATCTCATAATTGAAGACAGGGCCAGCATTTGTCCCAGCCTTTTAAGGACACTATAAGGACACATCAACCATCAAAATGCTTTGGAAATTCCAACGTTTCATGAGCCAAGCAACAGCATCCAGGCTGCCTCCCACATCTGGACGTGGAGCAAAGCTTGGCCACCTATTTTTGATTGTGAAAATGTAATTCAGCACAGCAATATCAATCTCCAGCAAGTAAGCCTGCTTCCCAGGATCACTGAAACCTATCCAACGTTGGCCTAGCTCCTTAAACCAGCCCAAGGTTCATATGCATCTCTTTGTCCCTCTGAGCTTTTCCCTATTTAACTAAAACTGTAACAACTGTCCACCATAGCAACCATAATCAAAGAAAAAGAACAAACACAAAATACTCCTCACTTTACCAAAACAGCGAATCCAGCCTAAGTGGTTTTTTCTTTTTTTTTCTTTTTTTTCCCTCACCAAAACAGGTCACAGCGACCTCCCCCAAGCTTGAGGCAGCAACCCCAGAAGCCCACTAGTTCCCACAGAGGTCAGTTAAAGAAATATCTTTGTTGGCCAAAGGACAAGATGTACCACCAGGGAACGCCAGTGCTACACTCAATAACTGTAGAAGGAGGCCTGGAACCAAGGATACATCCATGTAGGCTGTTTAGGGAACACAGAGTAGAGGCTGGTGATGTTTGGGGACAGCTTATCTGTCCACCCTCATTTCTGACACCAACTGCAGAGTTTGAGGGTCCCTTACTCAAGTTCAAAAATTCGGTAGAAGGACTCAGAAGTCACTAAGAGCTATAATACTCAGTTATGGCTTAGTCCACGAAAGGCTATGGATTTCAGTCAGCCAAGGGAAGAGATGCATGGACAGAAAAGTCCAGAAAAGGTCCACTTGGAATTCCAGTTGTCTTCTCCCAGTGGAGTTCTGACCAGGACTCACACGTGTGACAGCCAGGAAAGCTCACCTGAGTCTTGGTGTCCAGAGTTTTCATTGGGGCTCAGTCACCTAGAACTGTTTGGCCACTCAGTCTTCAGCCCCTCCGGAGGTTGAGCTATTATCACCTGGCCCAAAGCCCCCACCTTATCTGGTCCCAGGTCTCCAGGAAAGCAAAGACACTCTTCTTATCAGATAAGCCATCCCCGTGGCTTAGAGATCACCTCCCAGGAGCCCAAGGCAAAGGCTAAATCTCTCTTTGGGTAAGATTAATTCTTCACTACAGAGAGCTAAATTGATTGCTTTTAACTTATTTCCGTAACATTTACAACCCCACATTTGCGATTTATCTTCATGATCAAAAGTAAGGAAAGAACTCCACCTCACCAGTAAAATACTTCCAACCACCCAACAGAACAATCGACTTCTCGAAGTCTCCTTGCAGAGAAATCTTTCTATCCATCAGGTATGGATTTCCAGGTTTCTCGGAGCTGCACTACAGTGGGAGAGGTACATCTTGTCCTTTTCCTAACTCTCTCCCTGAATTTTGGGGGGTTCAGTTAACCTCGAGGCAGTAACCCCTTGCAGATTGACCGTTGGGGCTGCCTACGTGGTTTAAAAGTGTTGATTTTCAAAGCAAGTAAAAAGCCTTCAGAGGGTGACAAAAATAAACTACTGTCTTCATGGCTTTAGAAGATACAGGTAACTTAATTAAAAGCTATCAAGCACCTGTTTCTAGACGTTTCCAATGTATATGTAAGGATTATCCTCTTACTACCAAAAAAAAAAAAAAATCCAAGTCGTTTTCCTACTAGATTTAAAAATGCAAATGTGTCAACATTTGAGAGCCGGGTGACATGCCGTGTGACCCTATAAAACACTTAGAATAAGTAAATAGAAATGTGCAGTTCCTTTGTCCCACACAATATAGCATACTTACTAGGATATACTTCAAAACTCTGCCATTAGCCAGCTGTGTGATCTTGGGCTTGTCATTTTAACCCTCGGGTTCAGCTGCTTTTTCTGTAAAATGCAAGTGTTGGATGAGATCGTTTCTAAATTTCCTCTGGTTTTCCCTATTCTTCCTCAGAATAAAGTAACATTTGTAAATCTAAAGGAGGGTTCCTCAAAGCAGAGATTGTTACATAAATAAGAATCCCCTTTGTTTCCAATATTTACCTTTTATAACCCAAAGGAAGAAATAAACAATGTTTAGGCTACACATATAAAATAACTGAATATTTTTGAAAAATATACCATTAATATCTTAGCAAATCATACGGAGCACCCACCATGTGCTAATCAGGTATAAATATTTGAAATATTGATCTATATTTTGTGGATGATCCTGAACAAATATTGGTTAAATGGAGATTTTTTTTTTTTTTTTTAAAGATTTTTTTATTTATTTATTTGAGAGAGAGAGAATGAGAGATAGAGAGCACGAGAGGGAAGAGGGTCAGAGAGAGAAGCAGACTCCCTGCTGAGCAGGGAGCCTGATGTGGGACTCGATCCTGGGACTCCAGGATCATGACCTGAGCCGAAGGCAGTCGCTTAACCAACTGAGCCACCCAGGCGCCCTAAATGGAGATTTTAATAATAGCCTGATGAGCACTAAATCTGACAGGAGAGAGAATGTGCAGGATTTAGCTTAAAGTTATATGCCTTCAGAACTCAGTGACTTTCTAAATCGATTTTATAATTAGGAGGATATTTTTAGCTTCTTTTTCAATTGGAAGGTTTTATTATGCTCATCTTAATATATGTAATTTCGCTTGAGTATTTTCTGATTTAAAAAAAAAATGAATCTTTTCCCCTTGGTGAAGCAAAGTGTGAAAGTAACAGCTTCCAGCTTAGTGTTACATCAAATTTAAGGGCTGGTGAAACCATCCTAAGAGGTAGGTCCTAGGGACTGTCCACACAGTGCTCTTCCTTGGGCTCTGATGAAAAATGAGCCATGGAGGGAACCATGGCTTAGTGTAAGGATGGCCCTATTCACAGAGAATTACGGTGCCAGGTAATGCCGCTGGTTATTCAGGGGAAGGGGCCTGGTGGGGATGCCCCCGTGTGCCTCAACCTGCAGGAGTGAGGACCTGACCAGGGGAGCAGAGTTCTAGCAGAGGGAACAGCACTTGCAAAGCTCAGAGCCTGGAAAAGTACGTGGTGAAGCCAAAGCCCCAGAGGAGCCGGCAAGGGCAGTGGCCCCAAAGAAACAGAAAAGGAGTGGCATGCTGGTGAAGAGCCTGGTACTGTGCCAGGGGGCTGGTGGCAATGGGACTGCAATGCAGGTTGTTGAGCAGGAAAGGGACCAAAGCAGACCCATAATTTAGAAAAGGGGCAGAGAGAAGGATGGACTGGGGAGAGGTCCAAATGCAGGGGGTGGGGGTGGGGAGTACTGCTTTGAAGGACTTTAGGGATCCAGGGGGCTCACTAAGGCCCTGAGGCGTGGGGTGACAGGAGGAAGGTTGAGGCCAGCTCTGGGGTTCTGCCTGGTCTCCTGCTTGGCTGCTGAGATCAGTGGGGACATGCGTGTGCCCTAGTGGAATGTATAGGAGGCATTGGGGCAAATATAGCCAGAGAGCAGATGAAAATGTGGAGTTCAGGAGAGGGTTGTCTGGGATCTGTGGAATGAGTCAAAGAAGGAAGGGGTTTGGCTTGGAGAAAGACCAGGTGGTTGTCACGCAAATAATTTGCGGCCTTAAGAGCAAGAGGTCAGACCCCTCCATGGTGGCCCCTCGAGATGACCAAGAGCGAAGTGGCAGCTTTAGGGATTGGGATTCAGTCAACCTGAGTCCTTTTCTCAGAGTCAGAACTGGGGGAAGGCCCATGGGGGTGCTCCTGCTAGAGTCTCCGGAGGGGAGTTCCCTTCCGGGCAACAAGCCCCACCTCAAGCTGCTTTCTTTCGTCCCGCCCCAAACTCTCCCTTTTACCACAACCTCAGTGTTCAAGATGGCTGGCTAAGGAACCCAATAGAGCCAATCTACTAACCAGTAACTAAAGCCCTCCCACCAGGAGTATTTGCATCCCAAAAGGAGGAATTGGTTAACTTAAACAAATGCCCAGTGGGTGGAAGGTACGGGGCAATGTGCAGAGGAAGATCTTCCACTTTGCTCTGCAGGCCACTCCCCGCGCCCCAGGCATCCCCAGAAACCCGCCCTGGCCTGCAGAAGCTGGCCGCTGTCACCGAGGGCCCATCCGGGGGAGCGGCAGGCTGGCCTCAGAAAAGGACACCGAGCACCAGGCCAGTCGTCTCGCTGGATGAAAATCCCTCTCGATTTCCCCATCACACCGGATCACTCACAGTCCACTCGACCCCAGTTACCCCTTTTTGCTGGTTTTGTGTATCCAGAAGAGGATTGAACTAGTTAACCCGAAGGAGCAGATTGCAAGGGTCAATGTGAGCAGGCAGGGAAACCGGGTGGAAGTTTGAGGGCACTTTGTTTCCCCTCTTCTCGCTCCCCCATGCCCAACCCCGGCCACCAGGTCCTCCGGGTCTCCGAGGGCGGCCAGACCCGCAGGGAAGAGGCCTCCAGCCGGCCCCCTTTCCACAGTCTCTGTCAGGAACAGGGGTGCAAGGTTGCTCTAAGACCCCAGTCTCTACCTCGGGCTCCCTCAGACAGAGTGAGGACGTCCAGTGAGGACGCACTCCACTAAAGCTGGGTCCGGGGCATAGAGGCGGGGGTCCCCGGGCCGGTGCCTGTGGGGGGCAGCAGAGGATGCGCCGCGTTAGCCGGGCGGAGGTTCCAGGGGGTGTGGGGCAGAGGGTCACGTGACCCGTACCTTCCAAGTTCACGGTGTGAGTTGGGGGGGTGTCGCCAGACAACGAGGAGGGGGCGGGAGGTGAAGGCGCTGATCGCCGGCCCCCACCCATCCTGCCTGCCCCTCTCCCTGGGCGGGGCGGGGCCGCGGCAGGGGAGGGAGGCGCGGGCCGGGGGAAGGTCCGGGCTGCAGTTGGCGCCCGCGGGGCCCGGGTCGCGCCCAGTCCGGGCTCCCCCACTCCGCCGCCGCCTGGCCTCGCCCCCGCCGCGCGCGCCCCTCCCGCCTCCTCCGTTGCCGTGGCAACCCGGAGCCTCCAGGCGCGCGCCCGCGGGTCCGCCCGCCTGCGGGAGCGCTCGGCAGCGGCGGCGGCGGCGGCGGCGGCGGCGGCGGCAGCAGCTCCGGCTCGGGCGGCGCGCTCTGCGACCCGGTTCTGGAGCCCACTCGTCGCCCGCGGCCCGGCTCCGAGCCCCCGGCACGGCCCGCGACCCGGCCCCAGCGCCCGCCCGGCCGCCGGCCCCCATGGAGCTGCTGGCCGCAGCCTTCAGTGCCGCCTGCGCCGTGGACCACGACAGCTCCACCTCGGAGAGCGATGCACGCGACTCGGCGTCGGGACACCTGCCGGGCAGGTGAGGACGAGCGGCCGTCGCGACCCCCGCGCGCCGCCCCCGCGCGCCTCCCCCCGCCACCGGCGGGAGACTCCGACCCCCGCGGCCTAGCGCCCGCCCCCGGTTCCGCAGGCTCCGCCGCCCCCCACTCCCACCCGCGGCGTGGGTCGTGCAGTCTTCGCGCCCGGGGCTGGGAGTGCGCCCCGGCTCCGACCGCCGACTGCGGGACCCCTGCCCCGGGCTTCTCCCGTGCTCCCTCCCAAAGCGCTCTGGGCGCGCGCGCCCTCCTCGGCGCCCCCCTTCCCGCGCCGCGTGGCCCTGGGACGCGAGGATCGGAGCCCGAAGGGAGTCGGGGGCCGGGGGTCGTGTGACAGCGAACGGCGCGGGGTGAGCAGCGCCGGCTGGGATCCCGGCCGCCGGACCCGTCGGGGCGGCCGGTCGGCGCCGCGGAGCAGGCAGGGCGCGCCAAGTTTCCGACGCCTGCCCGCGAGCTCCGAAAACATGAAGGTTTTGGGCGGGCTCGTGTGGGAATGAATCACCCGGTCGCGCCCTGGTGCGGTGACAAAAAGGGCCTGTGGGGCCCGCCTGGCCCAGAGGGCCGACGGCCATTCGGCCTGGACCGTCCGGGGTAGGGTCCAGTTGGCCAGGGCCCCTCGTGCGGACGCCACTCGCGAGCTGGCCAAGGTGTGTCGTTGCTTAAAAATAACCGGCCCTGCTCCTCCTTCTCTCTGGCAGCGAGTCGTCCTCCACCCCGGGAAATGGGGCCACACCCGAGGAGTGCCCGGCGCTCGCCGACAGCCCCACCACGCTCACCGAGGCCCTGCAGATGATCCACCCCATTCCCGCCGACTCCTGGAGAAACCTCATCGAACAAATAGGTGGGTGTCCCTGGCGGCAACCGGGCTTCGCTGGGCAAACGCGGGTTCCTGGCGGACTCTGAGGGTCCCCCTGCTCCTGAGATGTCGTTGCATTTCGGTGAGCAAAGGTATCTGATGTGACTAAGGAACGTTATTGACATATTTGGCTCTAAATGGTTCCATAGGCAAAACCACCACATTTCAATAGTGCTGTATATAATTGAGCTTCAGCAAATGGATTTCTGTCCTCTCCGAAGAGGTGTTCCTGCCCAGCCCCTTCCTGGGGAAGGGCCCTTTGTCCCCTTGTCACTTTTGCCAAAAAGACCAGGGGTGAGGTGCTGCTGGGCCTTGCAAGAGGGGGTGCTGCCTGAGCGCCCTCTCCGCCCTCCCCCCCCCGCCAGGGCCCCGGGGGAAGACCTGGAGAGACAGCAAAGTCTGAGAATGGCTTCTGCAGAGACCCAGGCTCAGCAAGAAGAGGCATGGGGGACTTGGCTCAGGGGAAAGTGGAGAGAAAGTGGGCGCCCCAGAGGCCCCTGGGTTAGGAAGGCAAGCCTGGTTTCCCCTGCTTTTCCAGGAACGTGGCCGGAGGTGTGGGGCACAGCCTGTTTGCGCACCTTCCCCGCAGCTGCGGCTCATGTACTGGGTGAACACAGACAGTGGATTGAGAAGGTGTCCCAAGAACTCGAGCACTTGGATTTAAAAGTCAAAAATTGCTAATGACATCCAACTAGTTCCCATGTGGGTTCCATTCTCTGGGAAATGGTACCGGCTGCTGAGAAAAGCTTTTCGTTCTAAAGTGTTGTCAGCGAAGCAGACAGTTTATTCATTAAATTAAGATTCTAGGTTCGGAAATTCGCTTCCCTAAGTACATCGCCATCGTCCTCCATCCCAGACGTTCAGGTAGACGCGAAGTGGAAGTAGAGCTTCTGTTGCCCCAGGAGACCCTGCCTTCCGGAGACTTCTGGGGCCAGCCCCGTCTCCCCTGGGAGGGTTTTTCCAGACTGAAGCCAGAGAGGAGCCGAGCCGGGCACAGCTGAGGGGGTGGAAGCGCTGACTCTGGGAATTTGGTTGGTGTCAGGCTGGCTGGTGGCGGTGACGGTGGCAGATCTGCCCTCTATTTGCTGGGGGAACGGAGAGGGGCTGAGCTGAAGACAAAGACTCCTCAAAACCTTTTTCTCCCACCTCTCTGCCACACTGTCCTTTGTGGTGAGGACAACCCCCTCTGCCTTGGCAGACGCTGAAAACCTTGACCTCCACCCTCCTGGAAGAGATCTCCCACGGCTCACATCCGTGTCGTAACTGGGAAGGACATAGCGTGGGGGTGGAGAGCTCCATGCCTCCTTGCCCAGAGAGAGAGACTCTCCTCTGCATCGGGGCATGTGGAGACACCTCTCCTGGAGGCGGCTGGTCCTGTTAGGCAAGTGGCACAGGCTTGAAGCTGGGCTCTGGCCCGCACCCCTGCTGGCCTTCCCATCCCTCATCTGGCAAAGTGTAGAGACTGACATTCTGAGTCTTTTCTCCCACTGCCCCCTTCCAGGAGCTGCTGGTATAATTGGTGAATATCTTTTCCTGGCTCCTGGGCTGGATCCATAGTAGTTGCTCACCAGCTGTGACGGACGGATGACAGCCCAGAGCTGTCAGCACCTTCTCACTTCCCTCATCACGGACTTGGGGACTGTGCTAAGCAGAGTCCTACAATAGCCCTCCCTGCTTTTAGCTCTAGGAAGGAAGTGAATCCTTTGCCAGGTTATCCGGAAAGGACCAATTCCTACAACCACAGTAAAATGAAGTGGGGAAGAAAGTGGAAAACGCGTATGGGCACATTTGCAGACCCCGTGTTCGAGTCTGCAGTGTCTCCCACAGAGGGCGGAACAGAATTCCTCCGGGATTGTGCACGATACGGAGCACAACTGTCATTACAGATCACAGCCCCTGAGCCCCTGCCGTTGGTTTCGCGTGCCCGTGCCCACTGTTGCTGTCTCTGACCTGACAAATGCTTGGCACATAGAAGGTGCTCGCTAAAAAAATAAATGAATCCCCCGCCCTTTAGAAGGTTGTATTTGAGCGATTCAAAGAAAAAAAAATGATTCTCCTCAGAAAGTGAGATTTTTGAATGACTCCAGGGGCTTTGGCAAGAGGAGCTGGGGACTTACCCTCTTTTGTAGGGCAGCACACCCAACCTGGTACAAAACATTTTAAGTAGGGAAGATGGGAACTGGGTCTTGTATATCTGCATGAATATACTATACCAGGTGCAAGATTCTACCAGTAAAGTTCATTTTCATATAAAGTTGTGCTTGCTGACTGTATAAAATATAAGATAGGAGGAAAACATCTTAAGAAAACAATGAATACAGAAATTTAACCAGCTAACATGTAGCTCCTCAGGTAAAGCTATGCTATTAGTCTGACTTTAAGACCAATAAAAATAAACAGGCATTGAAAAATGGTTACACAGTGTGTCAAATAACTTTTGTAGTCACAGTAATTCCAGGAAAACTGGTATTTAAATTCATATTCTAAACACTTCAGAAAGAAGTAAGAGTTTTAAGAAAATTCTAAAGTGACTTGTATTGGGAGTCTTTGGCTAAAAGTAACAGAATATCCAGCAAAAAATGACAGTAAACAATGGCAGTATTTTTTCTCATTTAGAGGTAGAAAATTCTGGAATTTGGTTCATTCAGCCAAGCAGTTACCCAGCTCCTTTCCCTCCACCATTCTCGGCATTTGCTCTTCATGTCACAAAATGGCTGCCACAGCTCCAGGCATGGCATCCCCAAGCAGCCACATGTAAATGCAAAAAAGAAAAATTTTTCTTCAGGTGTCTGCTGAGGAGGGACATCTTTTTGGGAAGCCCTTCACTCTTTTTTTTTTTCTAAGTAGGCTCCACGCCCAGCATGGAGCCCAGCGTGGGGCTTGAGCTCACAACCGCTCAAGACCTGAGCTAAGAGTCAGATGCTTAACCTCCTGAGCCACCCAGGCGCCCTGGGAAGCCCTTCTCAAGGGTGTAAAATGTCCCCTTACTCTCCTTGGCCGGGTTGTGTCATGCTCATGTCTGAACCCACCACTGGCAAGAGGGAGGGAAGTATGTTTTTTTTTTTTCCCAAGTGCTTCTGTTAAATTTATTTCCTGGCTTTCAGCATATATATGAGCAACCTGTACACTTTGAACCTAGAGATTAGGACTGAGTGCTCTCTGTAAATCTCATAGGGCATATGAGGCCAGATTTTAAGGGAAATTTACATTGGATGTGGACATTTATTTTCTAAGTCTTGAGCCTAATTTCTGTGATTTTTCTCTTGTCAAGGGAGTCCCTAAGGCTAAGCCATTATACCACTGAGACAATTGAGAGCTCTCTAAAGAATAGTTTCTTTTTTGTTCATTGTTTTGTTTTGTTGCTTTTTGTTTTCCCTCTGGAGAAAGTTTTTTTAATTTTTTATTTTAATTCCAGTTAGTTAACATACAGTGTAATATTAGTTTCACGTGTACTTTATAGTGTCACAGTGGGTTTTGATCAGTCAACGTTCACTCACTTCCCTGAGCACCGAATGGGTCAGCCCCCAGAGAAAACCCCTCCCCTGCTAGCTGGGAACCCGTAGTGTGAGGGGGTAGAGGAGAGACAGCCAACAGTGTCTGCCACAATGTGATTTCAGAATTAATATTTTCAACCCGGCTACCCACAACGCCGATATTTCCGTCTCTTTTCACCATATGTATCACACTGAGATGCTGGAGATAGTATTTACCCATGATGTGCCCATGATAGCATGTATAAGACATATTTTTGAACTGTCAAAAAGATGCCAAATTAGACACTTTTGGCGAAGCTTCGACACTGCATTTTTTTTCTAAAGTAGGCTCCACACCCAATGTGGGACTTGAACACACAACCCTGAGATCAAGAATCTGAAGCTCTACAGACTGAGCCACCCAGGTGCCCCAAAGCAGCATTTTTAAAAGGGGTTCAATTCAACAAGTATCTGAGTACCTGCTGGGTGGGAGGCTCATTCGCATTGAAAAGTGAATCCAAGTCAACTCATGGAAAGTTGGTTTCTTTAAACCTCTGTAAACACTGTGCATCAGAATCACAGGGGAACAGTTGGTTCAAGGTCAGCACAACAGTTACGTCTTCTGCTCATGACTGGATGTGGTGGATGCAGTGGCATTAAACCTCTGTCTTTATAGATATTCAGTCCGGACTGCATTTAACAGAGACTTCCCTTTTCTCTTTCTCGTTCCTCTGTCAGATTGCCTTCATGTTGTATTCTGCTGGATTGGAACATTGCAAAATCACAGGATCTTAATTTTTTAAAGTAAATGCTGTACTTACCATGAAGGCTTTATAATCTCGCGTTATGGGGCATAGGAAGCCAACTAATTAGTTCCACAGGACAGATTTATGGGGCTCCCATTCATGGATATACTTGATCCGGCCACATTCAGGTTTTCTATCTTTCCTTTGTCTCCTGTTTAGATATATTCAACAATGAGATAAGAAAGGAACAATTGCTAATGTTTGTCTGCATTGTAAGAGAAAGTGCTTTACAAGTGGTACATTTATCCCAGTTAGAATTTTCCTGGGAAAATTATCTTTGTTTTATAAGTAGACATGTCCAGGGGCCCCGGCTGCTGTCCAGACCAGTATGTTCAGCTAGCTGCCTGCTGGACCTCTCCAGCTGGGGGCCTCTCTGGAGCACCTGGATTTCTCTGCTACCCCCGCCCCCCAGCACCAGGCAGTCCCCAGGACCCATCCTCTACCTTAACCCTGTTCCCTGAACCAGGCACGTGGCTCCATCCCTCTCCCCACCTACATGCAGTTCAGGCCTCCATCATCACCCCCTTGGGAAATTAACACAGCCTCTCTCTTCCTATCCACACCCACCCAAAGATGGAGACCAGAGTTGCTTGCCTGAGGTCTCTCGGGGCCTCCCTCTTGCCCACGGCATAGACTGCCACCTCCATGGCATGGCAGGCAGACAAGACCTTAGTGGTCTGACACCCTCCACACCCCTCCCCCACTCCCCACCCCCACTGCCTGGGACCAGGACCCCCCTTTTCCCCTGAGGCTTTCCTGCTGTGAAAAGACAGTCCCTCCACCCCGAAACCAGGATGTCTGAAATGGGCCCCCCCCCGAGATGCTACATTTGTGCTGATTCATATGTACCCCCAAGTCTCCTTGGAGACTTGGAATGCATTTATTTTAAGTACAATTGGTCAGGGAAGTAAGTTTGAAACTGTAAAAGCAAAAAAGGAATGTTTCCCTTTTGAATCATAAGGTTGATGAACTATTGGTTTTTCCTTCAAAATGAGAATTTACAACTACTCCCATTTCACAAATGAACATACTTGAATTTTAATATTGAAGCATTTAAGGCTAGGGAAGGCATACTGTTGGGATATTGAAACATAATCGGGGCATTTCCATCAACTGTGCACACTGGTTATTAACACATCAAGTTCTAGACTTGTTTGCCAAGTGTGTGTGGGGAAAGCGTATATTTGTGTGACTGGATTCTGAATGTGTTCAGGGATTTCTTTATTTGTTGGAAAGAACTTCCGTATGCTGATCATTCCCAAGGAATGAAGACAGTGGCATTTCATTGGGCCGGGTAGAGCCCTTTGCGGGACAGGCGCGGGCGGGCTGGCTTTCTTGCTGTTCTCACGGACACAGCATCTGCGCTTGATGAGAGGACCAAGTCTTGACCTAGTGATCGGGAAAGATCTTCCTCTGAAATCTTTCCCTTTTCTTCATTACAACTCTATTTGATTTCAGGGCTCCTGTATCAGGAATACCGAGATAAATCAACTCTCCAAGAAATTGAAACCAGGAGGCAGCAGGATGCAGAGATACACGCCAATGCCCACGGCTCCCCGGTCAGCGAGGAGACTCCGGAGGAGGAGGAGGAGGAGGAGGAGGAGGAGGAGGAGGAGGAGGAAGAGGAAGCAAGCCCACCTGAGAGGAAGGCTCTGCCCCAGATCTGCCTGCTCAGTAACCCCCACTCGAGATTTAACCTCTGGCAGGACCTCCCGGAGATCCAGAGCAGCGGGGTGCTGGAAATCCTCCAGCCTGAGGAGATCAAACTGCAGGAGGTAAAGGGCCGCCCTGCAGGGGGGCAGGGGGGGCTCCGTTCAGAATGTACAGGTCTTTTAACCTGCTCCGCTGAGGCTTCCTCCATGAGGGGAGGCACCCCCGCCGGCTTGCCAGAATCCCTGGCACGGTTTAGCCATCCAGAACACGCAGGGAAATTCACATTATTTCACAGGCAACCAAAAATAGCTCATTACCTTGTAGGAGAGCTCAGCCCAAGCGTGAGTGTTTGGGCATCGCTGTCAGGAGAGGGCGACTGTCGGGTATCCCCGGGGCACACGTGAGCCTGGTGCCCTCCATGACACCCAGCTCGCTGAGCCTGTGAAGGAGGTCAGTCCCCTGCGGTTCACATCCACCGCTTTATTCCGGAGTCCCATGAACCCTGACGAAATGGTGCCGAAGCGGAGGGCTGTGCCTTCCCGGCTCCTCTTGATGGTCCAGGCAGATCTTGCCCGTCAGCTAGGCCGAGGCAAGGGCACTGGGTTGCCTAACGGCGTATTGCTAGCGGGAGAAGTGATCCATGAGAAAGTTACAGTAACGGAAATGCGGAAACACGGAGCTGAGAAATCTGCGTGTGCATTTCAGCGGAGCAAAGGATACTTGGGTGGAGAGAGAAAGCCCGTGGTCTAGAGAGACGGGAGCGCGGCCGATCAAGGGCAAGGGGAGAGAACGGTGGGGAGGAATGGTGACCGTGCACATGTGTGTTCACCGTGAAATTTCAAAGGTGGAGATAGAGCGGGAAAGGAAGAGATTTGGTTCGGTGCAGTGTCATCATCTGTGTCCTGTCCCCCATACTCACACGCCCCTTCAGACCTGTCCTGAACTTGTTCTAGCCCCAGATGTCTGCCTCACTTTAACCCCTGCCCCTCCCTCCCGCACTGGAGTCTGGAGAAACATTTGCTCCTCTCGTGTATTTAAAAGGCAAAGTAACCTGCGCACCGCTCATGACCAGGACTGAGGATACTGCTGACCAGGGTGCGCTCGCTGGCGGCTGGGGGAGGCTGGATTTGTGTCTGGGAGGATCAGGAGGGATCGGTTGCAACTTGACATCCCTGGGGACTTGTGAGCAGGGCTGTGTAAATGGCTGTGTCAGGAGTTTCTAATGAAACATCTGATGTAAACAACGTGTAGTCACCTGTTCCCAATGCGGCTTCTACAAAAACACTGGAGGAGACATAAAGAAGCCCCTTGCCCCCAATCAGAAATGAAGACACATGTGGGGGATATCTCCACGGAGGCAGGGGGAGCTGAACTGAGAAAAGCAAGCACGTGGAAGGTGCCAGAACACGTGGAGAAATCCCCCTGCAGTTGTCCATCCCTCTTACCTTGGGGCTCCCCCAGCCACTGATAGGGCCACCGTCCCTAACTTTGACTTCCATATAAAAGGAATTATGCAATACTGTTTTGTATTTGGCTTCCTCCACACAGTATCACCACCACGGGGCCTTTTTTTTCGCCCCCAGAACAAGGAAAAAAGACCAGTTTCTGGGGGAATACTTCTTTTTTACCTTGATAATTAGAGAAGTAAAGATTCCTAGGTCCTCTAGAAAGCTTGGAGATAAACGTTAGTAGAACTTAAAACATGATATAAGCCTTCTGTGACATAAGCAAAGCTAAAAGCGGAGAAGGGGGCCTTTGTAGTAAAAGCAAACAGTAAAAAAAAAGCCCCCCAAAATAGCATAAAATAAGGGGGCAGAGTCAGTAGCAAACGTATCAGTTACAACGAGTGTAAATTGCTTACATCCTCCATGGAAAGACAAATCCTCCAGTTGATTGGAAATCTAGACCCATTATATTGTGGGACAGCGTGGAATCTGGGATAAGTTAACGAAGGAAACGGGTCATTTTGTGTTATTAAAGGTATCCTTCACATTGATAAAGGTATTGCTTTATTTTTAAATGTTTTAAAATTAAATAAGCTACTCATTAATGGATTTTCATTGTTTAAAAAAATGCAGCACAAACATGTGCTGGCCTTCTCTTGGCTCCTGGCTTCTCACCGGAGGACGGGCTGTTTCTGGCTTATCTCTCCCGATAAAGCATAGTCATAATGCACCATCTGGTTTTGGGGTTCATACATTTAGGAAGGTGCAAAATCCTTACAGATCTTTATGAGGCTTCCCCCCATATTTACAGTTGTTCTGTTCAACAGCAGTTTGATTTTGATTTTGGTTTTTAGCAATGTAGAGCCTCAGCTTAGTTTTCGTGAGAACTCCCTGCGTCCTGAGTACCGCTGGCTTGAATGAGAGCAAGCACGAACACAGGGGGCTCCCGGGGCGGTGGGGGTAGGGAAGAAGGGTGCAGGTGACCTGGAGAGTAGCCTGCTGCCCAGAGCACTCAGCAGATCCCGTTCATCTTTGCAGGGAAACCGTGCCATTGACTCAGCAAGTGGCTATGTGGGGAGCCTGATTAGGGGGAGCTTCAGTGCCCCCACTTGACATCCCTAGGGACTTGTGAGCTGGGATTTGTAAAGCAGGGAAACTGTGGCTGGTCAAGAGGGAAGTGCAGTTTAAGTGGTGGACAGGGACGCCTGGGTGGTGCCGTCGGTTGGGCATCCGACTCTTGGTTTCGGCTCACGTCATGATCTCAGGGTCGTGAGATCGAGCCCCACTTAGGGTTCCACGCTCAGCGTGGAGTCGGCTTGAGATTCTCTCCCTCTGCCCTTCCCACTTGTGCATGCGCTCTCTCTCGCTCTCTCAAATAAATAAATCTTTAAAATATAAATAAATAAGAACTGGTGGACACTGCCAAGTTGCCATTCAAAAAGGCAGGACAAATGTCGGGCTACTACGGGGTGGGAGAGACGCCATTTTCACCCAGCCTCCCAGCCCTGTTAGCCGACTTCGTGATGTTTGCTCCCATCAGCCCATCTGTTGGGTGAAGAATCCTATCTCATTTTAACCTGCCTGTCTTTGCTGACTTGTAAATTGAGCATCTTTTCATATGCTGTTTCCACTTGTCTATGAATTGCCTGTTCTTATCCTTTGCCCTTTTTTCTCTTGGGTTGTTTGTATTTTTCTTCATGATGGATGGCAGCTTTTTATACATTCTGGCTTTTACATTCTTTTAATATGTTTAAAATGGTTTCTTCCATCCTGTAGTATAGGAGAAGTGATGTAGTATGGGTTTGAGTCTCAGTTCTGCTACTTCTTAGCTGTGGGACCTTGGGCAAGTTACTAAACGTCTCTCTGCTTTTGTTTCCTTATCTGTAAAACTGGGATCATCCTAGTACCTGCATCCCAGGGTTGTGAAGCTAAAGGAGTTAACAAGCTAGAGAGCTGGACAGGCTGACCTCAATCGAACACTTAAGTGGCTTCTTGCTTTGTGGTATCTTTTTTCCACATAAAAACATTTGGTCATCTTTATAGAAAATCTGCCAGGCTTTTTATTTTTTTGAAACCTAGGCTCCTGGACGTTATGTCTGTGATTAGGAAAGCCATTCCTAAGAGGTACACTTTACAATGAAAAGGTAATATTACAAACGGTTGTGAACTGGCAGCCAGATAGCATGGACTCTGGTAGAACCGTGAGCAGACTTGCCGTCCACACTATAGTATTTTCTGTAGGAGTAGGACATCCATGGATATTAGCAATCTGCAAAAAGTAATGAGGTGGATTAAAATATTTTTACGGAACTTTGTAGTCACTGAAGATGTGCGGCCCACTGCAGTGGCCACAGGCCATTGGTAACTACTGAACTCTTAACGTGGCTGATCCTCATGGAAACGTGGCATGTGTATAAAATACACACCAAATTTTGAGGACTTAGCACAAATTAAAAGAAAGCAAAGTACCTTATTAATAATTTTTCTATTACATGCTGATATAATATTCTGAATAGATTAGATTAAATAAAATATGTTAAAATTTTCCTGTTTCTTTTTACCTTTTTTAATAGTTACTAAGTGGTTACTAAGAAATTTAAAATTGTGTATGAGGCTTCTACTTCTGTGGGACAGCAGTGCTCTTAAGAGAAGCAATCTTTTATTTTCCAGTGCCCGTAAATACCACCAGAAAGTGGTCACATATTAAGCCGTTAGAAGAAGTTCAATAAATATTTATTAAAATTGTATTGGTCAGAATCACTCGCTATAGTGCAGTGAAACCAGAAAATAAATGTAAACAATGTAAAAACCTCAAATCAGAAATGTTTAAAGTGCTCCTAACCTTTGAGATAAGAAAGTAAATCTTATATTGACAGATTATTTCAAAGATAATGAGGAGGATGCGACATTTTAAGAACAGGTGGAATGCTGCCAAAGCTGCATTTGGATATAAATTCACAACCTTACACGCTTTAATTATTAAATAAGGAATAAATACAGAATTAACTGAACTCAGAGGTCAGCTTTGAGACATGAGGGGGGAAATATACACACAAACACAGTCCTGAGGAAAGCAGATGGAGTGGAGATCAAAAGATATCGTGTAAAGTTGCAATGAGATGCATGCCTTCCTAGGAAAATAGAAGCTACCAAAAACTGACTCAAAACTAAAAATTTTTTAAACACCAAAATATACCAGGTAACCAAAAAAGTCTACAAAAGAGATGTTGCACCCAGATGGCTGAGTTGTGCCAAGTGGTCAAAGCACAGAGAAGTTCCTTGTCCCTTGGGCTAGTCTAGAACATTGCTGCATCCCCCAAAGTCACCAGCCACATGTGACGACTGAGCATTTGCAATATGGTTGGTGCAACTGAGGAGCTGAACGTTTAATTCTGCATAATTTAAACTAACTTCCCTTTCAAAAGCCACAGGTGGCTACTGTGTTGGTCAGGAAATATCTAGAGCGGGGGGGTCATCCCTTCTTAGAGGACCAGACAGTAAATATGTTAGGCTTTGTGGGCCCTATAGCCTCTTTCCAAACCACTTGGCTCGCCATTATAATGTCATAGCCGCAAATAGCATGTAAAGGGATGGACATTCCAGTTAAACTTTTTTTATGCTTACAGTTGGCCATCCCGTGGGCTCTGGTTTGCTGTCCTGTGATCTAGAGCATGGAA